AATTTGATATTTCTCAACTTCCTAATTTTTCAGGTTTTACATAATGATTAAAAGCAAATTTCATGACCACCACGTCTGCATGAAAAACTCTGTGCACTGTAAACAAAACCTCGAATAGTAAGAAAAAAACCAGGTGCTCTATATCAGTATACATATTTACCAGACGCACTCGGAATGTTCTGAGCACGTGCGGTAAATGTGAAAAACCATGTACATCTAGATAAATAAAAAAGCCTGAGCCAGGCAGTGAGCAAGACAGCTGTTTGATGTTCAGAAGAACCAGGAAGCAAACACACAAGTTAAAAGAAACCGCATATGAAAGTTTCAATGAGCCAGCAATAGTCGGACATCGTAGTCAAAGCTGCTAGGAAACGTAGAAGTGGTGCTATTTCGTGGCATCTGGGTAAAATGAGGACACTGAAGCCTGACCAGATCCACCACTCGAGTATAATTTATTTGACTTTAATGGCTGTAGCTCACACCGCTTAGAATGTGGATTAGATTGAATTATATCAACCTGAAGTGCTGTATTTTTTACTATTGATTTGCGTCGCCACATAAGTTGCACACTCCTAAAATATACTTTTCAGCGAAAAAAAAAAAAAAGAATAACTACTACTCGTGTATTTTGCGTAACCTGCCTTGACATTGAGTAACTACAACGCTGCAAGAAGATAGCCGTATTGGAAACTTTTCTTTCTTTATTTCTTTTTCTGATGAGCAGATGCATGCTTATATTTTATGTCCCTGGGCTCTGATACTTGAAGTGCAACGAAAGTCCTCAAATGGCTGCAATGAAAGCTGCGGACAGCGTGTAAAGTGCTGACAATTGAATATGTGGTGACAAAAAAGAACCTGTCAAGGCGCAACAGCTTCCTTGATTCCACAGATGAATGAAAAACGTCGGCCCGTTACCTTGATTCACGCACTTTTCTGTGGGCGTCTTACTAAAAAATAATTGCAGAATTATTTACATAATTTCACGAAACTGAAATGAGAAATTTAGCTGAAGTTACGCAAGTGCTACATTTGAAACATGAGCTACCAGCAATAGGTGTGTAGCTCAGGACATTTTCTGTTGCATCTCCAATAATAATAATAGTGTTAATAATATTATCAATATCAATAATGATAATAATAATAAAAACAAAAAACATAAGAGGTCCAGCAAGCTTCTGCTAATGGCAGTTCTAGCCTAGACAAGCCAAATTTCCTTCAAGCCGAGCCCCAATTGTGGCGTAAACAAACATGCATAAATTTACATGCGTGAGTGTAGTTGTGGTTTGAAAGTCAGATATGTCATGTGATATGTAAAAGCAACAGACATCAAAATAGTCTATGTAAAAACGCGGAATCTAAGGAATGCTTTAGCTAATGTCAAGGACAAGTTGCCGAGCAGAAATTTTCTTGGTCTTGTTTATGCCATAGGCTGCCACAATTGTGACAATCAGTACATCAGTGAAATTGGTGATTTCAAGAAAAGAGGTAAACAACACAAATATGGCGCCACAAAACAACGCATGGCCTCGACTGCCCTCGCTGAACACGCCGAATCTACAGACAACCAAATAGACTGGTCAAACGCACGTGTTCTGGACAAAGAAAAACCCGCCTCTACCAAAGGGGGGAATCTTAAGTAAATGCGTCACAGAGTGGAAGGGGTATCGTGTGAATGTTGTGTAATTGGGTATGGTTTGGGAATGCTTCATTGTCAATTTGTCTTTATGATTCATACTTACTGTGTTGCCTTCAACGAGTGGTGGGACACTAATGTTGGATTGTGCCCCACTACTGGTTGAAAGTACAGTTGCTTCCATCGCACCTACTCGAGTCAAGCAAAGTGTCACGTCAAGTGAAAGCCAAGTAAAGACGCCCTTGACTGAATTACGAATGCCGGATCCAGTCCCTACATATACGAAGAGGCCAGTGAATGGTTAAGCAGTGCGAGCAGCCCGTTTTTACTAGCAGACGCTGCTTATGTTGGCATTTAAGGCGAGAGAGCAGGGGGGAGCGACAGTTGGCACGATGCGCGAACATGGTTGAGACATGAGACGCAAGCATGCGCAGTAGAGGTGTAAACACCACTGCCAGCACCGGATCTTTGAGTAGGTTTGACTATAAAGTGCCCCGCATTTAAAAGAATCTCGCTGCACCTGGAATCCAGATACAGACGACTGTACTTACGCTGAACAGGAGTGATGGGACACTTCTCACAATGTACTCTCGCTGCTTGCTTAGCCGCACCTGCTAAGCCTAACGCCCCGAGATAGGCTTCCGACTGCGTCGAATTGTACGCGTCGAATCCTCCTTGGGTGGTACCAAAAAGAGGACAGAGAAACAGGCATACGAGAGCCACAAACAGCGTCGAAAAAAAAAAAAAGAACAGCCACAAAGGGAAGTTATCCGCCGGCACGAGATACCACCGATCTTCAGCAGAGCAACAAATTCATGCTTCTTTAAGTTCTTAGTGTAGTTGCTTGTTTATTAGCTTATAAATAAACCAGCCATAATAACTACAGTTCATTGAGCAGACACTGTGAATATGGTGAGCAGACAACACGGTACAAATAAATACATGTGGAGGGTCTAAGCCCCCTTCGTATTGGCTGAGGGGCCTGTTGTCTCATCAGTGATGAAGCGAACTTCTGAAACAGAGCATAGAGAAAACTCTGGCACTGCGATCATTCATCAATCACGGGAATGATGTGTAGTACATGGATTCGCCTAGTCTTAGTACTTGCCGGGCAAATCGCACTTGCGGCTTCGTTTATTGCTGTCTCAGTTTTTTTTTTTTTCTTAGGAAAGAACAAGCCCTTTCAAACTTTGCGACCAGATATGAAATGATGAGCCTTGAAGATGAAGGTGGTGAAGGGCGATTCTATGTAAGATCAAACAAAGCATGGCTTTCAATTCTTTTTCTATATTTTTTATATTGTTGCCTCATCAATGGAAAGAAGAGATCTACAATTGGTCTTGCTGTAAAAAAATTTTTAGAAGCACAGTAAATCAACAATGAAGTGGTGGAGTGCCAGGCTTGCCTGCTCAGCTGTTCTTTTCTAATTTGGCTGTGAAAACAAAAATACATTGAGGCTACGAACCTCAAAATACTTTAGCTAAATATAGACATACTTGCACTCACACTCAATTATATTTGGAATGTATGCATAGTGTAGATTTTTTATGGAAAATTCTGAAAGTTACCCTAAAAAATGTTTTACTGTTTAGTTTGCAGGTCTTTATTCCAAAAGTGGCCTATGACAGAGTGGTTCGAATTCCACTTTACTTTCTCAGCAAGCTTAATTTTAAATCTGCCAAAGCTTACAATAATAACACTTTTCAATCAAAAGATATTATCAAGCTAACTTTAGAAAAAGAGCATGCAATGAAAACTTCTGATGACGATAAAAAAAAAAACCTTTTTGATATTTTTTATTTTTCACACTTATTTTCCTGCACATCACCTTTCACGATCAATAAAAACATGTTGCATTATATGGTTCAACTTGTAGTTATGACCCGTCTATAAATGCCTTTGATCAAGGATATGCAACGGTAGATTACACTTCCTGCCCACTAAGTAAGGTATGCAGGCATATAATTTCATTTTCTTAAAAGGCAAGCAACAGTGAAATAGCTATCAACTGCACCAAAGACACCAATTTCAAAACAGGAGCAAGCAAGCGCAAGGAAGCTCACAACCCTGCCTTGAGCACTTCTACTTTTTTTCTATGAATACACAGTGTTTCATAGAAAAAAGCGACCCTGTAGCAACCAAACACGCCATGCTCAAATCAGCTAATTGCTGTGACAAGTTATTTTTGAGCTGTTCCTGTCATTTGATGAGAGAAGAGAAATAAATTTTTAGCTGATTTTGAGAATTTATTGTAAACTCCAGGCCGTGTGCTATGCTATATTATTTGGCTCACATGTTGTCGTGAGCTTGTACTGCTAATCGGCAGCGTTTTCTGACCCTAATTCAAAAGGTGTTGCAGGGCCCCTTGAAGCTGCATGGGCATGCTGATGCAATTCGAAGCTTGAGATTTTTTTATTGCTATAGGACAAACATGTTCAAGCTGTGATGAAAAAAAAAACACACACTGTCATTATAATACCGTAAAAACCCGCGTATAGCCCGGGGTTTTTGTCTAAAATTTAGGGTGCGAAATTTCAGCCCCGTACAATATGCGGATCCCAAAAAGTTTCGGCCCGAATTCAGTTTTGGTTTCGGCATCGGTTGGAGCTATCATCATTATCAGGTGTCTGCGCACTTCTACGTTAGGTGGCGTGGTAGCGTGAGCGGCGTTAGTCATAGAGACCTACAGGTACAGGCGTGCATCAGGCGAGCAACAGTGGTCATTGCAATCACTTGGCGCACATCACGACGGCCACGATTTTACTTCCGTGATTTTAAGCCAATTCGGGACCGCGCAGGCAGTACTCGGCTGCCTTTAAGAGGAAAGTTATTTATGCTGCCGAAACCATCGGCAACTGTGCCGCGGAGTGGCAATTCGGCGTGAATGAGCGGAGCATTCGCGGTTGGCGGAAGCAGAAGGAAGCCCTTTTTGCATGCTGCGGCAAGAGAAAAAGTTTCCGGGGACCGAAAAATGGAGCATTTCCAGACGTGGAACGAGAACTGACGGCTCGTGGATCGCCGAGGCGTGGGCCCGCATTCCCGAGGCGCTCGTTTGCCGAGCCTTCAAGAAGTGCTCCATCTCAAACGCGCTTGATGGCACGGAGGATGAGGTGCTGTGGGAGGGCATTTCGAACAAGGGAGATTCGCAAGACAGTGCGTCAGACGAACACGACGACAAATCGTGCGCGCGCGTGCGTGCGCATTCAAGTGTGTAAATAAATGCATTTTTTCTGTTTTCCTCGAACAATATTCGCGTGAAAATGTTTTTTCTCGCGTTTGCTATCCCCGGGTTACACCTCGAACTATACGCGGGTCCGAACTATACGCGGGTTTTTACGGTACCATGAAAGCATTTTAAATCGCTTACGTTGAACTCCGTCTTGCCAAGGGGTCCTCCTCCCCGTCGTGGCTGTATTCTGCATAAGAATAGTGGTACAAGCATGTTGCCATTAGAAGGGTTCGCATTTGAGTGTCAGGCAGCAAGATTTCGCCCATCCTGTCAACCCAAGCACCAAAATGCTCATCATTCTCCATTCACGTAACGGCAAAACTATCAAGTGTTGCATAAAAAAATGTGCATTAAATTTTTCAGTGTTCTTGTTATAGATGGGTTGCAATTGACGTCACTTTAGAAAGGCTGGCGAAGTGAGCGACTGCCATGTTCGTCAACAATGAGACAGGCTAGTCAGGCTATAGTTTCTAGAATACGATGACAAAGTGGTGCTAAGAAAAAGGACACAAGAAAAGGACACACTACACAGGCGCTAACTTCCAACATAAAGTTTATTATCACCGCAACGCTCGCCTATTTCACAAGAATAACATCAAATGACATGTATGATGCGCACAAAAATTAATTTTTCACAAAATACCATTCCTTGTCACGGAGAATAAACGAGTGCTGGCACACTTAGGCCTCAGTGATGCAAAAGCCTCAGCCTCAATAATCTCTCTAGTAAGCTTATCAACATTCTCCTAAAAACTGTGCTTACATTGAATATCGGTGTACAGCAGCAGGATTTACAGTGAATGGCCAGTCAGCTCCTTTGCCCATTTTTCACATTAATACAATGTTCTCCTAATCTATCATTAGGGCAACAGCCCATCTGTCCAATATACCCTTTACAACAAGAAATGAGATGCGGTAAACAATGCAAATGATGCAGGGAACAAAAACAGTTTGGTGCTTCTTATTACAACTTTTCTGCTTTCTGTCAAGGTCATGAAGGCCACATAGGCTGTCCAACTTCTTGGGAGCCAAAAATACAACCCTAATTTTAGAGCGCCTAGCTAATTTTTTTAATGTTATGGAATATGTCGTGATAGTATGGTAAAAGGACTAGGTGCTTTAGTTTTTCGGCATCATGACGCGCTCTACATCCTGGTTTGTGCAGCGTACAAAGCAAGCCTTTTGTAACTGAAGTTTGAACGAGCAGAAGATAACCTGCAGACGATAACCTGTCGAAATTTGGGCTTGTTGGTGCACTATCACAATGCACCAACAAGCCCGAGACAGAAGGTATAGATAAGCACGTCTACATAAACAATACTTGTCTGCCCTTCATTTTGATCTCAAAGATACAGTGGCCATGCGGCAGCTTCGTCAATTTCGGCGCCTCGCCGACCAAAGTGTGGTGTTTCGTTTTCGTTTTCGTAGCTGCCAGATTCGCTTTCATAACAAGTGTTTTCGCCCTCAGGGGGCACTACCCTGTGCATATGCAGCATTGTACATAATAAAGGAGATCCTGCTTGGCTACCGATGCTGCATACTTCTTGTCGACCAACACTTCAGTGCCGTGCCTTGTGTTTTCCGTGCGGCGCATCCACCACACAATACTACATTTTGGCGACGAGAATCTTCAATTTACGTGCATCGGGCTTCAAGGTGGGCTTCCAGCCTTCTTCCTCGTGCTGTCGCCTCAGCACCCATGCAAGCTGTCCCACCGTTACTGTATTTCCTGCATCTATTCTACTTTTCTACACTTTCCGTGCTAGTCCGGTCACGAGGCCTTCCTACGAGCGCGTCTCTCCTGAACTTCCGTCTCAACGCTCTCTTTGGCAAGCATGGACGTGGCTATCCCTCCGCCTTCGTTCCTTCAGTGCCCCGGTGTACCGCCTATTCCATGGAGGCAGTGGCATCCTGTGTTAAAGGTTTACATCGACGCCGCTGCCAGGGACGCTACACCGGAGCACAAGAAGGCACTGCTCCTGAATGCCTTGGGCGTCGAGGGTCTGGACACCTACCTGCGTGCCACCGAAAAGGAGCCGGAAGCCGACCGGTCAACTAAGGAGATGACGTGTACGAACGTGTACAATGTAGCCCTTGTGCTGCTGAATGAAATCTTTGACCCTCAACCGGGCGCGGTGTGTCCGCGCGGTCAATTCAAAGCCTTGCGTCAGGGCCAAGACCAGTCGGCGGTAGAATTTATACATGAAGTACGCCGAGTAGCCAAGCTTTGTGAATTCGGTGCGGCGGGCGATATCCTCGCTTTTGTCCAGATTGTCTCTGGCATCGCGTTGCAGCACATACAAAGTATTTTTTTCAAGATGGGCAAGGATTGTCTGTCTGTACACAAGGCGCTCGACGTAGCGAGGGAGGAGGAGGTTGTCGATTGCGCGTTGCTATAGTTATCGAAACCACAAGTCGATGAAGTGTCGTCGCATCCGATTCAAGATGGCGGCTCAGCTCACCGAGCTATTCAAGATGGCAGGTCAAAGGGTGGCCGACCTCCCCAAGCTTCGTGTCAAGATGGCGCCGGTGGGACTTCTCCTTCGTGCACCTTCTCGCCCTCCGCTGCTGCGGACACCTCTCCAGCTTCGTCGCTGGCTCGCGTGGGTGCCTGTTACCTCTGCGGCTCGACGTGGCATTGGGCCAACTCCACCGCTTGCCCTGCTAGGAGCCGGACGTGTTCGCGGCGCGGACGTCGTGGACATTTCGCGCAGGTCTGCCACACTACTGCGGAGTCAACCGGTCATCAAGCACATCGATTGTGACCAATACAGTTACTGTCCTGTCGAATTTAATAAGCGTCTTTCAAATCAAACATGCATCTTTTCGTCGTCCTCTTCTTCATATTTTGTCATATACTCATGACAATTATTCCATTCCCCATAATCAGTTGCTTCCTGCAGTTGATGAGTGCATAGATTTGTTTGGCTCTGTTTGATTTCAAACTAAGTGTGTGTTCCCAAGTCAATCTACTATTTGTGGGATGACAAGCCTTTTAATCAAAAGGACGGAATCTGTATCGGGTCGTGCGCAGCACCCGTCTTAAGCGACATATTTTTTAGTAAAATTGACATATCGATTAAACTACATCTCGATAATTTGAACAGAAAAAAAATGTTCGGGTATGTCGATAACTATCTTGTTTTGCTAACTTATGGCACGGTAGTGAACGAGGCAGAATTGCCAAAAATAATGTCGCATACTTCTGACTCTCCCATGCACACTGCCTGAGAGCAATGCCATAAAATTCCTCAATGTCCTCTTCACCTTTCATCCTAACCGTATTTGTTGGGCATACCAGCCACATGTGAACAAACCAGTCCTTCCTTGCCAATCAGCTCACTCCAAACTAGTGAAAAGAGGCATTATCAGTCATTGTTTTCGTCATGCATTAGGCAAATCTTGTGAGCACGAAATCGCCAACAGTTTTCCTAATCAGTCAGACCGATTGTCGAAAGCAGGTTATCTTCTGCACGTTCAAACTTCAGTTGCAAAAGGCTTGCGTCGTTTGCTTCGCAACCCAGGATGTACAGCACGTAATGATATTGAGAAACCGAAGCACCTAGTTGTTATACCATACTATCACAAGATATCGCACAACGTAAATAAATTCGGTAAGCGCTCTGAAGTTAGGGTTGTCTTTTCGGCTCCCGAGAAGCTGGCCAGCCTATGTGGCCTTCATGACCACGACGGAAAATCCAAAGGTTGTAATAAGAAGCATTAAACTGTTTTTGTTCCCTGCATCTTTTGCGTTGTTTACGGCATCCCGCTTTCTTGTAGTAAAGGGGAAGCGTAATAAAAGCAATCTTTTTTCGTTGCACTTACGAAGGTATGTACGCCCCGTTATCATTAATACAGCACCTGATATCGAGTGTTCGATAAAAAAAATTACGAATAAATAAATGAATACGCATGGTTTTCGAGGAAGAAGGTCAACGCTAATGAATCTGAACAAAATTCAGCAGTGAAAATCGCGGCGCTTGGTTCATTTGATTGTGCCAGAACATTTCCTAGAAGCCAATGTTTCTATTACTCAAAAGAGTTCTAGGCATGAAGAACTTCGATTCTTTCATGATGTTAACGCTAGCTGAAATCTTTAAGTAAATCATTTGTTTTTGATAAATAATGCTCCAAGTGCTCCAGCATATATCGAATTTTCTTAATTTTTGAGAATTTTGGTCACATTTCTTGAAACACCTAGTACACATGCAGACATGGTCGAATGGTGCATAAAAATAACGCATATTAACGAGATAGCATTAAAGAGCACATTTCCAAGAAATGCCAGTGTTAATGACACTTGTTTCAGCGAGAAATCATCTTGGTCGTGAAAAAAAAAATCAAAAGTTGCAAATAAAAATAAATGATGAAAATTTTCTGTTCAAGTTTTTTACGGGGAATTTCATTGACAACATCGACTGTAATTTTCAACGAGTGCTCAATGTGGCAACCACTAAAATGTTTCTCACAAACAACAACCACCAGAGTTAGTCTTCGATCCTTTCGCTTTATGTTCTTCCCCAATCAGCTAAGTGTGCTGAATAATCATCCCGCTCATTGTTAGAGCGGTATTCACTCCCACAATATAGAAAAAAACAGGTGCTGCCTTCACACCTCCTTTACTGCGACAACATCCCGGTTTTGTGAAGAGACACAAGGGTGAACAACGCGCACAGAAAAAAAAACACAGCAATGACTTGCAGAGGCATGCACTACGTGCTCAACAGCAAAAATGCCCCACAACAAGACAGCAACCCACTGACTTTACAAAAGCACATCTGAAGTGCATCCAAAGTGCAAGTGAGGCGCATGCAACCAGCATGCAACGCACACTCTTGGTGCGCCTCGCCGCAGGAATAGCATGGTTTTTAAGGGCCCTTCCATGCGCTCCCCGTCAAGCCGCAATGCACGTGCCGGCGGCACATTAGCTGCGTTGAAGCGGGCGGCAAATGAGTGAATCAGCGACGCTCTTTCGACCTCTGCTTGGGTGCGGCAGGGGCGCCGGCACATGAGTTGCGGCTGTGCGAGTGGCCTCTAGAGGAAGGCATCATCCGCAGTGCCACCGTCTCCTATTGGAAAAGCTTGGCGGTCGGCACACTAGTAAGTACTTTCTTGGCACTATAGTCAGGCTGCACGTGCAGCTTACGACCACGACAGATGGTCAGCATCATTCGTGCGATATGGCGA